AAATCGGTTATGAGCCCTTTGTTTTAATTATTTGATTTATAAGCAACATAAGTGTTACTTTAATAAAAAAAAAAAGTTAAAATCTTAAAAAGAAACATTCCTTAGCTCATGCGTGTAAGTAAAGTTATTCACAGCTCTTAATTACATGAGTAATTACTACTACTATCTTTCGTCCTTTTTCTGTCGAGGTCTATCAAGGTGGTTTCAATTCTATGCTCCATCTAGTACTATGGTTGCATTTGGTTTGAGTGCTTATGTCACACTTGTAGCTTATGCACTGTAAGCATCATTCTATTTTCTTTCCACATATGTAATAAATGATACAGATAAAAAAAAACAGAATGAAACTTACACACACAGCATGTGAGCATTAAAAACAATCGCAGCTTATGTTGGTGACATAATAATGATTCAATCATAGAATAATAAAGAAGTATTTTGCTTAAAACATTTAAAGTTAGTTAATGTTATAAATTTCTAATATTCAATAATAGGCAAAAATAATGCAATATGAAATAATTAAAAAACTTAAAAATTAATTGCTAACATCATCGAGATAGAAATTTTAAAATAAAAAATAATTATGTAATTAACAGTAAAGAATGAAACATCTGTAACTGCATGCAGGCAAAAATGAATTAATTCTGTGATTCTATATCAGACAAATCTCACATTGTCAAGGCACACGATGAATACCTCTGCGTTTGTAAAGCTGTGTATCTTTCCGGAACACGAATGAATATTCATCGCTTTGACCAAAACCCAATATAATCTCTTTAAAATCCTCCATAACAGTAATAGCAGCATGATTCATTAACTCGAGAGCGGCCACATCATTCGGTTTGACAAACTGGTGCGTATCACAAAATCTCGAGAAATTCCTGCCATCTATTCTAATCACAATCCAACAATTTGGCAAGCAGTTGTCGTCCCTTTCAAATTCCTTTACATATTCGAACTTGCTCTTAGCCATTGTCGTCAGGCATAAATAGCGGCGCGTAACCACTTGTTTAGCCCGAGTAATTCTTGAGAGAACGCTCTTCATTCAATAGTAGGTATTCGTTCAGTTTGGCACACACAATCACAAAAATTCATTTAAAAATGTACCAATCAATGCATTTTCAATAAATACTCAAGAATTCTGTCTTCCTCACCGATTTTGATGAGATTAGGCTCGTTCGACGCGTTTTTGCGCGAAATAAACGAAACTAATAGAAAAAAGCGTTGCTCTGCCCCGCAGACTGAGATATTAATTGTAGAACTTGACGATCACGATTCAGGTTAGGAAATGTGTCACAGATACAAAATTGATAAAAAAAACTGTCAGACTCTCTGCGAGGTAAATATGCGTTTGCGCATGTCTGTCTAATGGGTGCATTTAGTAGGTGCATCCAAAAGCACGAGCGCTAAATGAGCTCTTACCTTTGATTGGTATATTCCGTTAGAAAAATATAGACCAAACAAACACAATACAAGAGCTCACTGAGCGCTCATAGTACTGAAAATGCACCCATTGGCTCCGTCTGCTATCAGCCTATCACAGAGTCGATTCAGGGTATGATCAGCGCGATGCTACAATGCTTTACAGCAATTTTTGATTGGTCAATTTGCAAAATTCTTTTTTCCAATTGATCGACCAAATGCTTTAAAGCATTTGTAGTGAGACTTTGATCGCAGCCTCGGTTAGGGTGAAATACGAGTCCGGCCAATGATGTCTCCATTGTCATTGGCTAAAAAAGAATATGGCACGACCAATCGTTGCTGTTGTCACCGACAAGATACTCACTATTAAAACCATGGGCAAAGTTTCGGCGGTATAAAAAGGGCCCCAAAAGCCCGGATGTAATTGAAGAACGCTGACATTATCGATAATTAATATAAATTTGCTATTATTAGCATAAATAATAAATATTTGCCTCAAGCATTATTAAATTCATGATTTTTTATTACATAAATGTTCCATAAATAAATATGCATACTTGTAAAGCTATAATATTCAATATAGCTATAATAATCAATTATTCTCTTCGCATTTGACTGTAGTTGGTCAATTTCTCAATTTTTTTAGCTGAAGGCTTAAAACACCTATTGTAGATCCGGACCTATGAATATCGGCTTACGATTGGTTAATTTCTTACGACTTACGACTTGCAGCCCTATTGTGTAATGTGAGGTCTACAATAGAAGTCGTAGCGGTCGTAGAATCCTACGTCGTACAAAATTAACCAATCATAGTCGAGTATTCTTCTCGACTGTGATTGGTTAATTTTCTACGACTTGACATTGATACTTAGGGTAAGTACTTAGGGTAAGATACTGTTGGGTAAGTAGCAAGATTATCCAATCACATGCACGGATTACCAAATTTATCTCACAGGTAAAATTTATCAAAAGATGGAACAACGGCTCTTAGGACTGCAATTTCCCAGAATATGAGATTTAACCAGGAACCAAAAGCCATAAGAAATGTGCAAAGTCCTTTTTTTGCCAGAGGATATACGTGGTCTTATATAATACATATTATTGATGTGAGACAGAACGTTTTCCTGTTGGTAAACAACAAGAATGTAATGATTCATTGTATTATGTTACACCGTGTCCTTGCTAAAAAAATGTCTCTTGTTGAACCAATTAAAGAAATAAATGGTCCATTTAAGTGGAACCATTTTTCTTACTTTTTAAAAAATTATATTTTTTATTAATCATCGAATTCTTTTCTCTGCGTTTAGAATATCCATGCAGTATTATAAACGCATTTAAATAGAAACGTAGCACTTCAATCAATGCGATATTGCGTTATTACGTATAAACGATGCTATTGCGTTGCGAAAGGAAGGATTTGCAAATCGGCGTACCACAAGTAAGTACGTCACTAAATGTAGATTGCTTAACCTTAGACCGCGCGGAGACTGATATACCGGCTTTTAACGATTGAAGTGAATTTTATTTGTTGTTCTTTATAGTACTTTAGTATCTCATACAAATTATTGCCCTAGTATCCACAGAGGGTTTAAACCAGATCAGAATGTAAGAACCCACTACAGTCAAGCATTCCCCTGTCGTTTGACTGTAACAGAGGAATATTCGACTGTAGTTGGTTGGTTCTTACATTCTGATCTGATTTAAGCTCTCGGTGGAAACTACGCCATTGATATCAAAATTTTCTGTATTTGTAACGTAGGAGAAGAGGGGGGGGAGAAAAATTAGTTTTGAGCTTGTCGGAGCCTCCCCCCCGTAGCAAAGGGTCATACCCAGCAAACGAAAATGAATTGAAATGGATTGGAAATTTTCAATCCATCCGAATCCGTATTTTAAATCCATAATAATGGATTGGATTTCATATAAATATTTTTATATGTGTACCACTTTTTTTAACTCAGTTGAATTAAAACGAAAAATTTCTTATTCATATTTCTGAATAAAATAGCGTTCATAATGAATTTTTAAATGAAACAATGGATTTTCTACTCACAATTTTGGATTGAATATTCATTTGAAAAGAAAAACTTTTTTTTTATATTCTACTGGATTAAAAAACTGCATTTCCTATTCAGAATTTTAAATTGAGCAATATTCATCATGCACAGAAATGGCTAATATTATTTTTAAATTCAACTGGATTGAAAAACTGCATTTTCTATTCAGAATTTTAAATTAAGCAGTATTCACGATGCACACACCCATCAAACATAAAATACTGTAATATTATTTTTAGATTGAAAAGCATAGAAATATACTCCATGCCATTCCTATAAATAAATAAAAATGCATTCAGGATTGAAAAGGATTCATTTTAACATTCATGAATCCGTATTTCTAAAAATCTGAATCCATTTTAATCCATTTCAATCCATTCTCGTTTGTTGGATATCCACGTCACAATAGAGTCACAAATGCAGTCAGGAAAAGAAAATATGATGTCATTGCAATGTGAGAATTGTCATAACAAAATAATACATTGCAAAGCAGACATTCGCACGTATATCACCATGATTTTATCATAAATGTGATATGTCACATCGATGTGACATATCACATTTATGATAAAACGAACATTCGCACGTCATTACAATTGTTGTGACGTAACTATAACATTATTTGCTATGAGGTCTGTCTAATTGTAACAAACGATTTTTAGCAGTCGCAATTTTTTTCCTATTCCATAAAAGGATAAGTTCTTTTACAATTCTTTCATTGCTTAATTTGTATTCATATACAATTGACATTTATTATGATATAA